AGATAGTGGAGGAAGTGCATGTGAACTGCATGATAATGTAACAAAGGTAGGTTACTTTTTTCAGATCGGCACCTATGTGACTATGCCTAGTCTGCCTAAATTTAGATTATGGAAGTTTCATAACCTCAGTTATTTTTATAGTGTATTACTTTTAAATAGGTCAGACCTATCTCAACAGCTCAGTCCTGCCTATGAATTTGCTTAATTGTATGGCATCTAAGGCTAAGTCCTTTTCTGCTGATATCCTTGGTAGTAAACTCATGCATAAATAGATGGAGCCACGTCTTTAAACAGTCATCTTTTTTTTCTATGACTGCCCAGTGCATTAGCTGGCTTTTAAACTGGCTGTGACCACCTCAAGCCCATAGACAGCTACACGTACAGCACACCGTACTCCCATTCACAGAAAAACCAATAATTAAAAGTAAGAATAACCTGCTTTACGAGTGGTCATTTTCATTTAGCAGATGTCACATCTTGACCTTATCCATCCACTATCCGCTTGCTTACCCTATCAAAATAAAAATACACACAACATATACACACAAAACCTGTGGAAAACCCAAGACCGATGCATGCATCAGGCCAAAAAGTAGCCAACATGTACAGGGGAAGGAGGTAGGAGTTTAAATGTTTCAGAGTATTATTTGGGCAAATTTAAAGTTCAGAGTGTCAATTTAACAAACGAGTGAACTTTGGGTATTAAAGTGTAATTAATCCTTTCTTTAATTGACATTTTGCTATGACTAGGATCTGTTGTTGATATCTTTTCTAATAGTTCAATTTAGGATCTATTGCTGATATCTTTTCTAATATGGGCAAAAAAAAGTGAAAGTTCTTCTGGAAGAGAGAGGAATGAATTTGTTTCCTTAAACATTGATTCCCTGCTTCCTTAGCTCTTTATTTGCGTTAAATTGTAGAAGTAATCGTATAGGAAAAACATCTGTATCAGATCCAGTCCAGAAGTGCTCGTCGTAAAAAAGCTAAAAGAAAATGGTTGCGGGAATTAAAGTCTCAAGATGATCAGGTATGATGATTTCTGAAAGTATTGCATTCTGTTTTCTTGTAGATGCAGTCGGTTAACTTTAGTACTAATTCTACCCATTTTTATTACAGAATAAGGAAATGCGGGTTTCACCTAATGTTATTCACAGAGAATCACCTGAGCAGCAAGAGATAGCTCAGGCCACTGAACTAGAGAAAGAAATTGTTCCTGTTGTAATTCGTCCTGGTCATATTCGTTTTCAGCCTTTAGGTAAACTTTAGATGCCATCAGTTTTGGCTCCAGTTATTCCATCATTGGAGCTGCTCATATTTAAACTTCTCTATTTTTCTTAAATTATTAAATTCAAATGCACTTTATTTTTTGATTCACATGGCCCAACGGCGCAGCTTATATTGAAATTGCATAGATAATCTCTTGGAAATGATTTGTATTTCATGTGGGAAGAGAGTGTTGCTAGATATATCAGCTGTCTTGCCTTGAGAATTTTAGCAAGCTTCTGTTTTTTGGCAGCTCTATTTGCAATGAATCTGTTATCAATTTTGAGGGTTACTGTAGTAACTCCTAAAACCTTTTCAAATTTTATGAAGGTCTTTGCTCTATAGCTGACTCCAATTTGAAGGAGAAAGACTCAAATGACACTGATGAAAATAAGAAAATCTTAAGAGTAGAATGTATTCATCTCTAGATCCAATCTCTTATTAAAAAGAAAAAGTAATCTTATATCGTGTGCATTATTAATGCAATTGAAAATGACTTCATGATGTATGGAATTATGAATTTCAATAACTTCTATACAGAGAGCAGAGTATGATTATTGCTGTGCTGTAGATAAAACTTGTTAGATCTATTTTTTGCATTCAGTAAAAACTTGTTATCTCCATCTCCATGCCTAAATTTCTGATTCAGTCGGTTCCCTTTGAAGGCAAATTAATGCTTCTTTTGGAAGCTGGAGACCTTCACATTGATAGCACCTGATGCATGCTTTCAAAGGTTTATTCAGAAATGTTTTTCATGCATGTTAACATTGTTTTCTGCATTTTTTTGATAGATGAAGAATGTAGCCAAGGGCAATCACAGGAAACTATGGTATGCCTCCTTGTTCTAGTATTGATATTCCATTTAATGCAGACATGTAACATAAATGTTACATTGTACATGAATCATGATTTTTGGTTTTAGAAATTCTTCTTTGAACTTCAAATCTGAATGTTCTTTTTGATTACATTGAAATTCTTCTGAGGATTGCATGATTTGTTCTGCTGTTTTAATCTCAGAATTTGTAGGTATAATTATCAACAAAAGTTAGCCATAGTATGTTATGAATTGTGGAATTATTACTTTTGACCTCTCAAAGACTCATTTTCTGTACGTGTGCTACATAGCTTCTTTTGCGTGAGATACTAAAAACAATTGATGAGTCTGGATCTTTGGGTAATATTAGTCTCTTAGGAAGTAGAATAATAAATTTGCCATTGAAAAGTGGTGGTAGTAGATGACTGGCTATATAAAATACTGATAAACATCACAGATATGGAAAGTGCACGTAATGCATCTCTAAATTATTGATAGATCTGGTTAGTTTGCCTCGTTCCTCATCAGCTGTTGACCCCATAGATTACCACCTTTGAATTGGAAGGTGCAAAGTTGTGAAATAGCCAACACTCAACTGCATGGATTACTGGAGCAAACCAATATAGTATATATTTCCATGGCAGCAATCTGAACAACATGTTTATCACTTCATGCAATGTATATTTTCTTTACATCTGGGTAGCATAAAACTTTATCATGCCGCGTTGACTTTCAGATTCGATTAGTCAAGCTTGCACCGGCAATTTTGTAAGTTAAGGAAATACCAGGCCATTAATCACTTCCACAAAAATCTACACACATTCTATAAGTTGATGGCCATGGGTCATTGCCTGACATCACCCATCCAATGGTTAAATCTGTCTATTTAAGAGAAAGTAAGTGATTTTAGGTTTTAACTTGTTTAGCTTCCTCTCTTTGAGGAAGCATTATCTTCTTGGTGATTCTTTTTGCATTTTCAAGGCATCCATTATGATTGAATCAAAGGTTGAAGCTCTTGTTGTACTGTCAGTGTGTGCTGTACCTGCCAGCTTTGGATGCATGTTATTACCTTTTCTAGTGTAGAAGTTATGGGTTGTTATTCTTCTCTGATATGCGCAACTGTTGTTTCATGTTCTTGGAGAAATACAATATAATCATCCGGTATAACATTTCTCCTTTCTCTCATGGATCTCCTTAATGACACTGGTTCTTGAGGTTGTTGAGTTTGTTTTTCTGGAACAGGGAGTTGTTCAACATTGTCATTTTGAGGTTCCGAATTTACTTCTTGAGCAACCACATGTATAGGAACCTGAATATTGTCCAAAGTAACTGTATGGATTGGATTGGATCTGAAGCTAATTCCTCTTCAAAAGCAATGTTTCTAACCTTATTTCTCCCCCCAAACTCAACATCCTCAAAGAATATTGTTGTTCCCATCTCAAAAATATTCCTGAGTGTGGGATCATAAAACTTATAGCCTCTTGAATGTTCAGAATACCTAATAAAGTAGATGCTAACTGTTTTGGAGTCCAATTTCTTTTCATTTGGCCTATAAGGTCTTGCCTCAGCTGGACATCGTCAAATATGTAAATGCTTTAAACTGGGCTTTCGACCAGTCCAAAGCTCATAAGGTGTTTTAAAAACTGCTTTACTTGGTACTCTGTTCAAAATGTAAGCTGCTGTTTATAGTGCTTCTGGTAAAAAAGAATGAGCAATCATACTTCTTATCATATTTTTAAGAGTCATGTTTCGTCTTTCAGCTACACCATTCATGCTAGGTGAACCCGACATGGTGTACTGTGGGATGATACCGCATTCCTTTAGGTATCTAGCAAATGATCCTGAACGTTGTTCACCTGAACCATATCTGTCATAGTACTCACCACCACGATCAGATCTAGCAGTTTTAATTCTTTTGTTGAGTTGATTTTCAACCTCAGCTTTATAGGCTTTGAACATGTCCAGAGACTCAGATTTTTCATGAATGAGATATAGGTACCCATAACGTGAGTAATTGTCTATGAATGATATAAAATATTGTTGACCATTCTAAGATATCGTAGGGTCTAGCACTCACTTTGCCGTGCGCTTCTGTGTTTTGAAACATTGGTCAAGACTCAGTGCAATACAATGGCAGCATAGTTGAAACTAAGTGCCGGAGCATGATTGGTCCCAAATAGTGGTTTGCTAATGACATTTTTGTTAGATCATAAAATGACTCAGCGACTCACATTTCTTACATCATGCCTATATATGCAAATGAGATGCTTCTCATGCAATTTCCCCGCATAATTCAATATAATAGCAAACAATTTCCATAATCTTTTATATATTAATCTTGTAATCTATGCTCCAGGAAACTTTTCAATGGAATGGAACAACTAGCAAGAAGAAGGGGCAAAAGTGGGGTAGGGAGAAGACGATGGGAAACTGGAACAATGCTGATGGTTATAACGAGCCTAATGAAAAGAATATTGGGAGCAAACGGAATGATGCTAATGATTATAAGGGACAAGAATTGGCTGGGGAAAAGACCGTGAGCAAATGGAATGATACTAATGGTTATAATGGAGAGACATGTGATAGGGATAAGACCATGACTGAATTGAAGGATTCAAAGGGTTATAAAGAACAGTCTAACAGAATGGAGAAGACTGCAAACAAATTGTATGATGCCAATGGTTATACAGAACAATATAGTGCAAAGGGTAGCAAATGGAAGGATGCTAATGGTGAACACTCTGATGGGAGGGGTTTATCTGAAAAAGGGCAGAGAGGAAGCAGCCAAATAGATTTTGAAAGCCTTCTGCCTTTAGCACGCATTCCTCAGGTTTGTCTGCTACATTCATACTTCGTGTTATATTGTTATGAAATTGATTGAAATAAAACAAAGTGAGGCCTGTAAGCTTAATCCTTCAAAGGAAGATACAATTCAATTATAAGGGGAAAAAGGAAACAAAATCATTCAATCGGATATGGGAATCTAAGCAGTACCATTGTTCTTGAAGAATGATGTGCATCTTTCTCCTCATCTCTTTTCCTTCTTCGCAGTCTCTTTCTGTTAGGCAATTAAAGTAGTATCAGATCTTGGTTAGCCATAACTTGCAGAAAGGGTGAATGTGACAGCATTTCATCATTAAAAGTGTAGGAACTAACCATCAAGTTTAAAAATTTCTGCAGGTAGGTGATGTGCTTGCATATCGTTTAATTGAGCTATCTTCTTCATGGTGTCCTGAGGTTTCTTCTTATCGAGTATGTTCTTTATCTACTCTAGTGAATCTAACATGCACATCTACACGTAGCATTAATTAGTAAAATACTTCATTTTGTATGAAGTCGAGAGAAATTTCGTAGAAATTATGATGACAAAAGAATCCGTCATAGTGCCCTTTTGACATCTCCCTCTCTTTTCTGATTGTAGGTAGGACAAGTTACATCATACGATCACGTATCTATGAGCGTAACTCTGGTCCCTGTACCTGAATTCCCTATTATCTCAGAGGAGAATACAGAACAAAGGGATTCCATGGTTCAGGAGAACTCACTTTACAATGAAGATGGCTCTTTACAGGCAATTAAATATTTATGCATTTTCTTCTGGGTCTCAATAAGGTTTTATATGATAAGACATTAGTGCACACTTTCACAGAATTTCATGATTGCGCATGTTATGTCCAGATTCACTTTCAGTCACTGGTTGATGTGCGTTTACTCAAAGCCAGCATTCAGGAAGAAACAACACCACATAATTCTAGAAGAGAAGTGAGCACCAATGAATTAGCAGCTCCTCTTATGAACAACTCGGAGCTAGATGACACCAATGCTGAAGAGACCGTTGCCCAAGCCATAGGTATGCATCCAATTGATTTATTTGTTCACATATAAAAAATAGCATTGACTAGATCATTGTTCTTTCAATTACTTGCAGAGAAGGGAAATGCGAATGAGTCAGTTTGGGACCAAATCAAACAGGCCCTTGAGGAGAAAAGGGCACAGCTGCAGAAGAAGGATGGCTGTGATGAAGGGACCCCAAATAAGAGCAATGCAGGTACTTCAGGGTTGTACAAAGCATTGAGGAGGAGTGCTGTGGGGCCCACACTCGCCTATCTAAGAGGGAGGAAAGACGAGGATACCGATAAAAAGTGAGGTGCTCGCTGTACTTCTCTCACGCGAAAGGTTACGAAAAAAATTTCACAGCCCCAACTCTTAACATTTTTGCACTGTAAGTGTGTTAATGTCGTGAAAAATACGTTGTAGATATGCATGTCTGTACTTTTAAGGTGAATATGGTGGTGATGTTTGAATTTGTTCGGGAACTCTACGAGTTTAGTGGAAGCTCAGTTCAATGGGTTAATCTATCGAGGTTCTCTAATCTGTGACGCGAGCTTACTTAGTGAAATGCCGTAATGTACTATAGCGTCTTACCTGTGACCGGAGCTAGAACATAGTCAAATGTCAAGGGATCCATATTAAAAAGGCACTGTGTGTTTAGATATGACACCCTTAAGATTTTTTTTTTTTTGAAATAAACATGTTCATTATGAGAGAGATCTATGTGCTGATTAATTCTATGTCACGCTTAAACAATTTTTTATTTTTTGAAACGAACATGTTTCATTATGAGAGATCTATGTGCTGATTAACTCTTTTTTGCGGTAAGGTGCGTTACCATGCTTGAAACAGTCTTTTTTATTCTTCAAGTTCATAAAATAAACAGCAGAGCAAACCCTTGTAAAGATAGAAATAAAATATTTTCAGACCACACCCATATATTCTCCCACTAAACAAAGAGGATTCTTCTTATGCATCGTGGTCCCAAACTCCTCCACAACATCCAGATCCGTAATCTCCATCCCAGACGGAAGTTCGCTCAACTCGCAATACGGGCAAAGTTCATCCCAGGACCACCTCTTCTACCAAACCCAAATGGAATAAATTCAGAGTGAATCTCTCAGGCCAAAACCTCTCAGGGTCTTTCCATGTTTTTGAGTCCATGGATATTGCTTAAAAAGTTAACTTAGGAGCATGTTATAACATAAAGTTATAACATTCATTGCTCACTACAACTTTGAAGTTTTAATATTACTTAAAAAGAGATTTTGGAAGTTTTAATATTAATAATAATACTACTACTTGTTATTGTCCTATTTCTTTCTATAAACTAAAGTAGCTTAAAAGGGTTAATCGCACGAAAACCACCTCCTGTGTCGCACCTTCTGACCCCATTAGTTTGAATTTGGCAGATGGACCTCCTCCTCCTGGATGAAATTTTTTTGCTCTTCTATCCTCAGATAAACCCGCTAATTTCAACAGAAGTGTCAGCGTGACATTCGCCAGAATTTCACTCGTCATAAATTAGTAAATATCTCATTTTGGGGTTAACTTTGCAAATATGATAGAGTTTGAAGTTACGTATGCAAAAGAAGCTTTATTATTCTACTAATAAAGCTTGCAAGCATCCTGCTGTCACTTGTCTTCACATCGAACACAAGATCAAAACAGTCGTTTTATTTGCTAAAGTAATATTCTCAGAATGATTGGTTGGTACGGACATATATAGTTGAAGGTAAACGCGCGCGTGTGGATTGTACTGATATTGTTGAGGGCAAAGTGCCTATCACCTAATAATTACATTCTTTTCATGAAAGTGAACCGGAGGGAATAATACTCCACTAAAAACTTCATTTTTTGACTTGAATTTCTAGTTATATCATTTAATTTCTTTAATTTTATTTATATCTGAGTTCTAACCTGTTTTCAATCCAAACTTGTCGAAGACCCTAATAAAATGAAATCGTTGGGGTCGGGTATAACAAGAGTCTATTGCGTTATAGGTGACCACCATGCATGCATGCTAATCTCTCAATCGATCAAGAACCTATAAAAGCTAACAAAAAACCTAAGTCGATATGAGTAACTTGCATGAACTGAAAGACGAAAATAGCAAATTTGGTTTATGTGCAAGATTAATTTAAAGATATAAAATATTCAAGGTGCGAATAATAGAAAAGAAAAAGAAAAAGAAAAGGAAGAAGAAAAAAAAGAGACATTTTAATAAAAATCTTAACGACATTTTCTTTCTTCTTCCTCTTCTTACTCAAATGCTCCTCAATCCCCGCCATACTTACTCCCAAACAACATAACTCTGCACACAATAAACTCAAAGCGAGACTCATCTCACCCAGGTTAATCATGCAAAGCACGTGGGTACATGGGGCCCACGCCCACCCATGAGATGTTCAAACACCGCATGAACATCAAAGTTGTCCAGCGGTTTTTGTGATGAAGGCCCACCCGAAGACCTCTGTTGAACAATATAAATACCCTTTATGTCATCTAGGTTTTTGTGCGTGGAGGCTTTACAAAAGGGGGCGGCTCTTCATTGGCTGAGCAAGTACAAAGGGCAGTGCAAAGAATTGGTTGGTGACTCTCTTCGTGTGGCTGTGCAAAAGAAAAGGCAGAGGCTTTTTTAGGGTTTTGTGCATCTATTTGAGAGAGTATTTGTGTGAGGGATTTGAGAGTTTGTTTGAGGGTTTAGATTGAGTGATTGTAAACCCTTTGAGAGTTTGTTTGAGGGTTTAGATTGAGTGATTGTAAACCCTAGTTGTATTCTCTCCCTCTATTAGTGGATCTCCCCCTCCTTGCCCCGTGGACGTAGGCAATTTACCGAACTACACAAAAATTGATTGTACTGCTATTTGTGTGATTTGTAATAGCTTTTAGGTTCCCTCGACGCGCAGTCCTAGAGCTGACGAGAGGAAGAACTAATATCCCACTTTGATGAGATATTAGGCTTCAGATTCTTATTCCATTTGAGAAACAAAAATTCTTATTGCGACCTAACTCTTGTTGTGCTGCCGAAGTGCTGCCTAAATTTTCGCTGCGCGCAACAAGTGGTATCAGAGCCCAGATTTCAGATCTAGGGTGTTTTGGATTTGGTGGAGGAAGATTTTGTGTGAAGCTTGGTTCTTAGAGTTCTAGGCTTCGGTGGAGATAGCATTAGGAGTTGTCGTTAGAGATTTTGCTTTCCTCGTGTGGTTAGGAAATCTATTTGGAATCCAATCTAGGGTTCAGTTGGGTGGTTCCTAATTTCTATCAAATTTGTTCTTTCTCTATAATTTTGGAGTTAGTTTGCAATGGGAGAAGAAGGTGAAAGCAGCAAATCGATGGCTAGTACAATACAAGTTGGTTTTCAGAACACTAAGATTAGTGTAGTGAAGTATGACGGCAAAATCAACTTTGGTTTGTGGATGAACGACGTACAGGATGCGCTCAATGCTCAGAATTTAGAAGAGACCATCATGGTCCACGAGAGGCTACCTAAATATAAAGAGGCGGTATGGGAGAAAATGAATAGGAACGCATGTGGGGTGATCAGGTCCTGTTTGGAACAGGAACTAAAATATGATGTGATTGGGGTAACGTCTGCAATGAAGATGTGAGAAATTCTCAATAACAAGTATCTCACAAAGAGTGTTGAGAACAAGTTACACTTGCTGCGAAGACTCTTCAGATTTCAGATGTCCAGAGACACCTCGCTAGCGGCTCATGTGAACAACTATACGAAGTTATTGTCGGACTTGGCGAATGTTGATGAGAAGATATCGGATGAGTACAAGGTGATTATTTTGTTAGGCTCCTTACCGGATGAGGAGTATGATACCTTTGTGCTCACTTTGTTAAACAGAAGATCTTCTATTAGCTATAGTGAAGTGACTAACACTTTGACGAACTACGATTTGAGGAGGAAGGATAATGAAACTTCCCACGCTAGTACTTCAGGCGAGGCCTTGTCGACAAGAGGTAGAAGACCATATCCAAAAGGTGGTAATAGAGGAAGGTCAAGTCAAGAAACCGCTACCAATTAACAAAGAACCAATGTGTATTCTGCAAGAAGCAGGAACATTGAAAGAGAGACTGTCTGAAGCTCAAGGAGAAAGAGAATGGCAAGAAAAAGGGCCCGAAGGCCAATGAGGTGAATATTGCGAAAGGCGATGATTCCGATAATTCGTGCTTTTCTCTACTGATTACTCTGGAGGTGAACCATGTGGATGCATCAGATTGGATGCTTGATTCCGACGCTACTTTTCATGTGACCCCTAGGCGAGACTGGTTTGCATCTTTTGAGAAAGTCGACGGGGGCGTTGTTGTCATGGGAAATGATCAATCCTGTGGCGTTTGTGTGATATGTACCGTACGGATTAGGATGCACGATGGAGTAGTCAGTGAGTTGAAGGAGGTGAGATTTGTTCCTCAACTGAAGAAAAATCTTATCTCAGTTGGAGCTTTGGAGGCGAAGGGATTCAAGGTGATTTTCAAAAACACTGTAGCGAAAGTTACTAAAGGATCATTGGTGGTGATGAAGGGAGTCCGCAATCGGAATTTGTATTATCTGAAGAGAAGCACCGAGATTGACCAGGTTGCTTCGGCTATTTCATAAGCAGACATGAGCAGACTTTGGCACTATAGATTGGGGCACATAGGTGAAAAGTTACTGCAGGCATTGTGCAAGCAGAGGCTATTGAAAGGAGCCAAGAGTGGGAAGATTGAGTTCTGTGAGCACTGTGTTCTTGGCAAGAAGACGAAGGTGAAGTTCGGGACTGCTATTATTCAGACGAGGGGCATCCTGGATTACGTGCACACAGACGTTTGGGGTCCCACCAAGACCGCATCACTTAGTGGTCGATATTGGTTCGTCATTTTTGTAGATGACTATTCTAGGCGTTGTTGGGTGTACACCATGACGAAGAAGAGTGAAGTCCTAGATTTGTTTGTGGAGTGGAAAAAGAGATTGGAACTGCAGACTGGGAGAAAGATCAAGACGTTACGATCCGATAATGGTGGTGAGTATACTTCTGACCCCTTTCAGTAGCTATGTCGAGACGAGGGCATAGAGAGACACTTCACAGTTAGTCATACACCACAGCAAAATGGGGTGGCAGAGAGGTTGAATCGATCTTTACTGGAGAAGATCCGATGCTTATTGTCACAGAGTGGTTTGGAGAAGATCTTTTGGGCTGAGGCACTTACATATGCGAGTCACCTCATTAATAGGCTGCCTTCATCTGCGATTGAGGGGAAAACCTTTATGGAGATGTGGTCGGGAAAGCCAACACATGATTATGACCAGCTCAAGGTATTTGGGTGCCCTGTATATTATCATGTTAAAACTAATAAATTGGAACCTCGAGCTAGGAAGGCCATATTTGTAGGATTCAAGCGTGGTGTCAATGGATACAAGCTTTGGGATCCAATTGATAAGAAGATTGTGCTGAGTAGGGACGTCATATTTGATGAGGCTTCTATCTTGAAGCTTCCCATCTCTCATCAGGTAGAGAGCGACCCGACGGAGGAGATATCGCAGGTGGTGGAGATCGATACAGCTCCACATTGTCCAGATGGTACAATATCCATGCAGGTGCCGACTGAGGTGACGCCAGACGAGCACGACGGTGACACGGATGGTACGAGTACAAATGTGCAGGATCAGGAACCGACGGCTCAGGTTTAGGATTCTATTGCGGTTCGGAGACAGAGGAGAAAC